CTCCAGTTCCCAGGGCACCGGGTCTATCAGCATAGTGCCATGTGTCTTGTCAGTAGAGCGTCTCCAAGGGAGTGAGGAGAGCGAGAGAGAGCCTGTCTCCCGCCTCCAAGGAGGAAATCAGGAATTCTCAGGAGAAGGCCATGCCTACACAGAGGCCTTCTTGGCTATGATCCGATTGACAGACTAGACTCCACCCCTTCACGCTTAATCCTATCAAGTCCCAAGTGGACACCAGATGCTATAACTGCCTCAGCTCCTTGACATCTGAATCTGTTTTCTCCCTCCCTTTTCCCTCTACGCAGGCTTCGCCGGTGTTCCCCTCCACAAGCATGTGCAGCGACCACAGGTTTGGGAAGCTGGAGATGGTGTCTTCTGAAAACAGGGAGGACCGGGACAAAGAGACGAGCCCACTGCTCAACCCTGAGGCCCTGATAGCCATCTTCCAGCAGTCGGGCAGCCAGAGCCCCGACGCGCGGATGGTGGGTGAAGCATCTCTGCCCTTTGGGCACCTTCCCAGCTGTCTGTCCAGTCATGGGAGACAGCACCTGCTAGTGTGGCTCTGGCTGGGCCTCGGGAGCACTGATGCGGCTCCGGGCTGCCAGGCAGCTTGAGCAGTGTGCCCTTCAGCCCTGATTCCCTCAGTGGTCAAAGCTGAAGGACTCAGTTGGCGCCAACTGTTTGAGCAAGTCCGGGTGAGCTGGTCAAAGCCTGAGGACTAGTCGAAATGACTGGAAGTGGATGCTCCACAGAGAACCATCAGCGCTGTCGCGAGTGGGGTTTCTAGCTGCAGAACAAGCCTCCCCCCAGTTTGCCCTCCCCAGTCTGGCCCACGGGGTCCGTGCATGTGTGCTTCTCCACAGTGTTCCTTCTGTGGGGCGAAACAGCACATTCTTCTACCTTTGCTGAGCTGGAAATGCTCTCCTCACGTTTGCTTGCAGTTTTCCTCTGTAGGGAGGATTCGAGGAGCGCGTACAGTAAGGTGACCCTCTAGAGAGGGGGCCCATTGAGGCCGGTGTGGCCGGGCTTAGGTCGCCAGGCAGTGGCTCTGAACACCAGTAAGTTCTTCATCACCCAAAGGCTCCTTCACATGTGACTGACGGCCTTACTGACTCCTAGTCAAATCTCAAATCTTTTCACACATAGATGCTCAGTTAACTCTTTTTGGACCAAACCCCTGGAAAATACTGGGGGTGAAAAACATAAAAATGAGCGGGCTTCCAGAATTTCATGGAAGAATTCCGTGATCTTTTCATTCTGTTTTTCCACAGATTTTTGAAGGCCCCCTCGTGCTTCCCCAACAGAGAGAATGCAGATAATTGAGAGCATATATACATACCTTCTTGAAAGGGTGTTTGGAAAATCCCTGCCATCCAAGGATGACTTTTTAAGTCTTCAGTTGCCAAGGGATTGGCACCCCCCCACACACACACATACTGTTAGAGGGCCTGATGGGGAACCTCGCCTGTAGCTTAGATGAGTTGACCAGGTGCCCTCTGGCAGGTATCTTGCTTGTTTCTGATCATGTAGACACTATAATTTTGTTCAGGTCAGTTATTTTCCTCTAGATTTAGTTAGTTAGGCTCAGGACAAATTGTGACGATGCCCCCTCCCTCCCGTCTGCCCTCTGAGCTGACTTGTGCTGCAGGGGCAGCCCCAGCCGCCCAGCGCCTTTGTGCTGCTGCTGTGTTGGCACAAGGTCCCAAGTCGTCAAGGACGCCGGGGAACCTGCAGGCTTCGCTGCCTCTGACGGCTGGTTTCCGAGTGAGGAGGGGCAGGGCGCGGCCGGGCTGTGGTGCAGGGTGGGGGCAGGCTTCTTGCTACAGCAAGAATCTTCCCATTTCCAGTCCAGAGAACAGATCAAAATAAACCTGTGGAACGACCACTTCGTGGAATACGGCAGAACTGTGTGCATGTTTCGCACAGAAAAGATCCGGAAGCTTGTAGCCATGGGGATCCCCGAATCTTTACGTGGCCGACTCTGGCTCCTTTTCTCGGGTAAGTATTTCTGGTGCCTTCGGGCTGGAGATCTGTTTGGAGTGGACTCAGGATCTGAGGGTCCCCAATGAAGGGGGTGGGGTGTGTGTGTGTCTGTGTCTCAGTGATATCATCTACTTACTTCTGGGTCGTCACTTCCCAGGTCCCAGTAAAGTACTTGGGAAACCTGAAACCTGACTGCTTTTGCTCTGGAAGCTTGGGTTC